TTGGGGAGTGGGCCTAAGTTGCAGTCTGGCCTCAATTTGTGGGAGGTGACCAGGCTGATCAGGAGAAGGCACCAGCCCCATCACCCTGCTGCTGCAGCCACTGCCAGTCACCACAGCCACCAAGGTGTTTTCATCAACACGGACTCCAGTCCCTTCACCATGAAAAGATGACATCTTTCTTTAGTCATGTTCAAGATGTGTCTTTCATAGGGTATGACATTTCTTTATTATTTTTTTTATCCTCACCTGAGGATATGTTTCCATTGATTTTTAGAGAACGTGGAAGAGAAAAGGAAAGACAGAGAGAAACATCAAAGTGAGAGGAACACTTTGATTGGTTGCCTCCTGCATGAGCCTTGACCTGGGCCCGGGCCAGGGAGGAGCCTGCAACCTAGGTATATGCCCTTGGTCAGAATTGAACCCAGACCCTGCGGTCGGCAGGCTGAGGCATTATCCACTGAGCCAAACCGGCTAGGGCAGGATATGACATTTCTTAGCCCTCCAGCAGCAGACCTTCATTTTTTTTGCCAGATGTGCAGTGAAAAACCCTAGGTCACCTTTTTGGATTCTTATTACCCAAGTTACTAAGAATATTACCAGTGGCATACAGGGAGCTTAGCCAATGAGCAGTCAGAAAAGGTGTTTCGTCTGTAGTTCACACCGATCCCCAGCTTGGACCCTGCCCAGGCCTGAAACCTTGGCCAGAGGCTTCGACCCCCCTCACCCTCCCATCACCAGATCGGCCCCTAGCCCAGGCCTGATGCCTCTGGCCCAGGCATCAGGCCTGGGCAGGGGACCCCCATCTCCTTCCAATCGCCTGCTCCCCCATCCCCCGCCCCACCCAGGCCTGATGCCTCACAGAAGGTGAAAATACTGTAAATAAGGGACCCGTATTATAAGGTAGAGAAATTAAAAAACTGTTAACATTAATAATAATAGTTAATTTATTCCTCTCTTCATCCTGGCATGCTTCTCACTCTCCTCCCCAACAAAGTGCATTAAACTGTGCAGTGCAGGATGCCTTAATGAAGCCACACAGAAGCAGGAATTTAGTAGCACCCACTTTCAGAGAATATATTTACTTATCTTACATCCTAGCTAATTTGCTAGGAAAAACTTTTCTTTTCGAGAGCCAATAATTGGCTAATCTGCCCAATATCAGTCAAGATCAAATTTCACCTGATGGGACATATTAGAAAGATCAGGCATATTTGACTGATTTATTTTCAAAGTCTTTATTGTCCAAATCATTACCCACTTTCATATATATATATATGAACAAGAGACTATACAGGAGTATATAATTTAATCTTATTATCAAGACATTCTAAAATGTTTATATTGTACCACTTTTTAATTAAACATTTCATAGTTCTGAGCATCACACACATTCTTTTGAGTTGAGCTACTAACATAATTTCCACGAAACTGAGTCAACAAAAGACAGGTTAGATTGTCCTTCACAGTTAAGAGGCTACTGTTGGCAGTATTAAGAGAGACAACAGAGCAAGTCAGTTAACTGTGCTGAATTAAACCTCAAGTTCTCCTAGCTTTATGCTTAATCAAGGAACTACCTTGTCATTCCCTTATGGTCATAGAGGTGTATACATTTTTATAGCATCACTGACTTTAAAGGAGCCCTATCTTTATTCAGTTGACCCTTTATCTTGGTCCTTCCTATTTCAGATCAGCTGTCTGCATATTTCCATGTTTTGAGTATACTCAAGAGCAAGATTGCAAAGAATACAAAAATAAAACAGTCCACAAAGATTATCAGCCCGAATGCCACTAGGAGACAAAAGGAACTGCCACAAGGAACAAGGGAAATTAACATTCTTTCCTGTCCACCTGGCAAGAATTGACATCAAACTAAACTTGTCGGCAAGCTCTGTTGACATGGAAGCATTAGGAGAGTAGAGGTTCCTGTAAAATATTCTGGAGCTACTTATACTGAAGTTTCCGAAGACCTTTTTATCATTTATCATTCTCCCCCACTAACAGCATGTTTTGTGAGATGCTCATCAAACTGCTTCAAATTATTTCTGAAAAAAAGAAGAAGAAATACATTAATGATTGGATGGATAGTATAAAATGTTAAAGTTTTATAATCAGACAGACCTTGGCATTGAATACCTCCTTTGACATTTAGTATTAGGTGAGTGACATTGAACAAGTTACTTAGTCTCTCAGAACCACAATGTTCTCATTTGTTTTTTAAAAATGGATAATAATGCTTTCTCTTATTATAATTAAAAAAGAATGCATGTAAGCACTTGTAAAGCACTTGACACATTTAGTAATTGGTCACAATTAATTAAACCTTCTATTCATCCTGAATTACCATAAAACCATTCTGTATCAAGAGAGAGAGAGAGAGAGAGAGAGAGAGAGAGAGAGAGAGAGTGTTAAATTAGCCTGACTACCTTTATCACATACAAATAATTTCTATTTAGACATTTTATTTTTTTTATTTTTTTTTTCTATTTAGACATTTTAGAAATTGTTTGCAAGTCCCTATTTATTACTTCTAAGATTAAATGGGCCTGAAGGGACTACCAATAGATCAAATCAATGTTGATATTCTTTACCTCTCTGTGCAAAGAACAATGCATTTCATCAATGTCTTTGGAAAAGAATAATGAAGTTCAAAATTTCCTTAATCTGATGCTCAGAGCCTACTCAGTGATTTAATGTAATATTTAATGTTAAACTTTAGTTACTGTGAAGTTTTTTGAAAATAACTTAAAATTCCTCTATTAGAATGTGATTTTCTAGATGCAGCCATTGAAGTTATGTGACAAGCATGCCATAGACGAGCTCTGAGCTATCATTACTAACATGTCTAATGGGTTTCTAGTTGAACTGTTTCCTTTTACCACATCATACATTTTGTGCATTAAAGATGGGCAGCAGTGGATAGGAGAAACTATTGAAGTGGAAGAGAAAAACAGAAAAAATAAAACCTGTTATTGTCCACCAAAATTGAAATATGGTATCCAGCTCATGCATTTAGGTTTTAAAATTCTATAGTTTTCAGGTGACAAGGATAGTAGCATATGTACCTTTTTATCTCTTTCTCACTCCATCTCACCATAATACTTTCCTTATACTAAATATTTGATAATATTTGTCAAGGAAGAGACAAACAAATGATCACATAAACTTTGTTTTACACCTAAGTACCATAATCTAATGCTCAAGGAATTATCTAGGGCTGTGCTCTTATTTATACTTTAATTCAAAAGCAAGCACATATGACATCCATGATTTACCCCTGGAAACATCCACAGGGTCACCTCATGAGAATAGAGGACTCTGGAGTGAGTGGAGCAGCATGGCAGTGAGAGAGGACCTCCAGGTCTCTCCCCTTGAAATCACTACAAGCTGGGCAGCCATAATTCAACAAAGGATTCCCTGCTCAATGCACAAATCAGAGAAATTGGGCATTGAGACCTGCAGGAGGGCATTTCTGAGCCAACAGCAGAGACGGGATAGGGAGGGGAAGGACAGAGACAAAGCCCAGGGCAGTCCTGCACTGCCCAGGACCCTGCATATGTGATAGCAGTGAAGGGTTGAGTTGCAATCCCCATTGGGTGGACCAATGCGGCAGAGACAGCAATGGGGCCTGGGTGGCTGGCACACATTGATAATGGGCCCAGGGGCAGGGGCAGAGAAGTAGCACATAAAACAATCACAGCACTCCACAGCCTGCCAGCACCAGACAAAGAATTCCACAGCTGCAGGAATCCTCCCACCCAGCCCCTGTGTCCGGCCAGGCAGTAAAATCTTCACTTAGCAGACAGATCTCAAAAGGGCTGAAAAAAACTTTCCACCCTAAGTGGTCTGTGCTTATTATGGCTAAACCCACAAGGAAAAGCAGAATCACACACCCAAAACCCGCTTCCTCCTGCCCATCACTCCCCCATCCATTATAGCACAGCCTGCTAGAGACAGCTGGGTCAACCCAGACAGAGCAGCTGTGCCAGCAGCTTCTGGCTACAGGAAGTTGGCGCCAGAAATGCACAAAAGACACATAATATATATTAAAAATAAAAATAGGAAATGGAGGAAGAGGCATCATTTACAAAACTAAAATAACAGACAAAAACACAAGGGAAAAGAAACAATAGAGATACAGAACTACCATTAAAAAAAGACAAAATGAATATAGAGAATCCTCTTATATCAATAATAAATGGACTGAATTCACCAATTAAAAGGCACAGAAGTAGAAGGTTGGGACAAAAAAACACACACACAATTATATGCTGCCTTCTGGAGACACGGCTAAGCTTCAAGGACAAACATAGATTCAAAGTGAAGGAGTAGAAAATGATACTCCAAGCAAATAGCATCCAGAAAAAAAGCAGATGTAACCATATTCATATCTGACAAAACAGATTTCAAAATAACAAAGGTAACAAGAGAGAAAGATGGATATTTTATAATAATAAAAAGAATAATACATCAAGAAGACATAATATTTATTAACACATATGCATCCAACCAGGGAGATCACAATATATAAACTAGTAGTAGACCTAAAGGGTAAAATTCACAAAAATATCCCATTGACAGCAATGGATAGATTACTCAAACAACAAAAAACTAATAAGGAAATATTGGTGTTAAATAACACAATAGACAAATAACGGACATAATCAATATTTACACAGCTTCTCATTTCAGAATATTAGAACAAATGTTTTTCTCTAGTGCAATGGAACGTTCTCAAGGATAGACCATATTTTGGGACACAAATTAGTCTCAAAAATTTAGTAACATTGAAATAATACCAAGCATATTCTCCAACTACGATGTTCTGAAATTAAAAATCAACTGCAAAAAGAAAGCAGGAAAAAACACAAATATGTGGAGATTAAGCAACATGCTAATAAACAACAAGACAAGATCAAAATATATGTAGACACAAATAATAACAATAATACAACATATCAAAATTTTGGAGATGCAGCAAAAGGGATAAGAGGGAAGTTTATTGGGTGTGGAGAGAGCAGAGCGCCTGAAGAATGGCTTCTCTGTGTACAACACATCCAACAGCACCTTGGGCTTACTCCTCACGGGTGGCAGAATACTATAGCCTTCCTGTGACATTACGCCCTATACATAAAAAAAAATTTAATATCTATCCTCAAACTCTTCCAAAAAAAAGAGGGAAGTTTATAGTATTACAGGAAATTGAAGCAGTCTTTAAAAACCTCTCAAGAAGTAAAAGTTCAGGACAAATGACTTCACTAATGAATTCTGCCAAACATTTTTTAAAAAATTTAATATCTATCCTCAAACTCTTGCAAAAAAAAGAGGGAAGTTTATAGCATTACAGGCCTACCTCAAAAAGAAAGAAGAGAAAAAAAGAAAACAAGAAAAATATCAAATAAACAACCTAACATTTCATCTTAAGTAACTAGAAAGAAAAGAATAAACAAAGCCCAAAGTTAGGAGGGGAAAAAAAGAAATAATAAAAAAATAAGAGCAGAATTAAACAAAATAGAGATCAAAAAGACAATAGAAATACTTAATGCAACAAAGAGCTGGTTCTTTGAAAAGCTTAATGAAATTAACAATCCTCTGGCTACAATCACTAAAGAAAAAAGCAGAAAAGACTCAAATAAACAAAATCAGAAATAAAAGAGGAGAGGCCGCCCTTGCTGATTTGGCTCAGTGGATAGATCATCAGCCTGAGAACTGCAGGGTCCCGGGTTCGATTCTGGTCAAGGGCACAGCCTGGGTTGCAGGATTGATCCTCAGCGGGGGGCATGCAGGAGGCAGCTGATCAATGATTCTCTCTCATTATTGATGTTTCTATCTCTCTCTCCCTTTCTCTTCCTTTCTGAAATAAATAAAAATATATTTTTTTAAAAAGAGGAGAGGCTAAAAGGAACACCACAGAAATATGAAGGATTGTATAAGAATACTATGAACAGCTATATGCTACCAAATTTTATAACCTAGAAGAAAAAGACAAGTTCTTAGAAAAATATAACTTTCCTAGACTGAATCATAAAGAACTGGAAAATCTAAATAGACAAACCAACATTAAGGAAATCGAAGCAGTCTTAAAAAACCTCTCAAGAAGTAAAAGTTCAGGACAAATGACTTCACTAATGAATTCTGCCAAACATTTTTTAAAAAATTTAATATCTATCCTCAAACTCTTCCAAAAAATTGAAGAAAAGCCATAATTCCTAACTTATTTTACCAATATTACCCTGACACCATAACCTGGCAAGTACAATGATAACACACACACAAAAAAAGTTACACACAAATATCTCTGATAAATATAGGTGCAAAAATCTTAAACAAAATATTAGCAAATCAAATACAACAATATGTTAAAAAGATAATGCATGACAATCAAGTTGAGTTCACTCCAGGAGCACACGGATGGTTTTACAAACACAAATTGATCAATGTGATACACCACATTAACAAGTAAAGGGTAAAAATCATATGAACATATCAATAGATGCAGAAAAAGCATTTCACAAGATACAACATCCATTTATGATTAAAACACTCAATAAAATAGGCACAGAAGAAAAGTATCTTGATATAATAAAGGCCAGATATGGTAAAAAAAAATAAATAAATACATACATACATACATAAAAGCTTTCTTTCTAAAATCGGTGCAAGACAAGGGTACACACACTTACCACTGCTGTTCAACATAGTACTGGAAGTCCTTACCAGAGCTATCAGACAAGAAAAAGATATAAAGGCTTCCAAATTAGTAATGAAGAAGTAAAATAGTCACTGTGTGCAGGTGACATTATTCTACATATAGAAAGAAAAATAAATATAATAAAGTTGCAGTATGCAAAATCAATGCACAAAAATCTGTTGTGTTCCTACATGCTAACAATGAAAAAGAAATGAAGAAAGCAATCCTATTTACAATTGCAACAAAAAGGATAAAATATGGAGAAATAAACTTAACAAAGAAAGTAAAGAATCAGTACACTGAACACTACAAGACATTATTGAAGGAAATAGAAAGATATTTGGTGTTCATGGGTTGGAAGAATTAACATTGTTAAAATGGTTATATTACCTAAAGCAATATACATATTTAATGCAATCCCAATGATATTTTCACAAAAATAGAACCAAATATCAGATTTGTATGGAACCACAAAAGACACCAACTTGACAAAATAATCCTGAGAAAAAAGAACAAAGCCAGAAGTATTATACTCTCTGTCTTCAAATTACACTACAGAACTACAATAATCAAAACAATATGGTATTGGCAGAAAAACAGACACATAAACTGATGGTCCCAAAATAAACCTAGATATATATGGGCAACTCATTTTTCATAAAAGAAGCAAAACATACAATGGAGAAAAGAATGCCTCCACAATAATGGTGCTGGGACAATTGGAAAGTCACATGCTATCTGGCACCATACACAAAAATTAACTCTAAATGAATCAAACACCCAAATATAAGACCTGAAACAATGAAATACATGCGAGAAAACATAGATACTAAACTTACAGAGAGGATTGTACTAATTTGACCCCAAAGACAATGGAATAAAAGCAAAAATAAATGAATGGGACTATATCAAACTAAAGAGCTTCTGCACAGCAAAAGAAATTATCAAAAACAATGACAAAAAAAGACAGCCAACCAAATGGGAGAAGATTGTAAACAATATCTCCACTAAGTGGCTAATAGCCAAAATATATAAAGAACTAATGCAACTTAATATCAAAACAACAAACAATGCTATTAAAAAATGGTCAGAGCCCTAGCTGGTTTGACTTGGTGGATAGAGTGTCAGCCTGTGGACTGAAGGGTCCCAGGTTCAATTCTGGTCAAGGGCACATGCCCAAGTTGCAGGCTCGATCCCCAGTAGAGGGCATGCAAGAGAAAGCTGACCAATGATTCTCTCTCATCATTGGTGTTTCTATCTCTCTCTTCCTCTCCCTTCCTCTCTGAAATCAATAAAAATATATATTTTTTAAAAATGGACAGAGGACCAGAACACACACTTTTCCCAAGAAGACATATAAATGACCAATAGATACATGAAAAGATTCTCAACTTCACTAGCTGAAGGGAAAATGCAAATCAAAATCATAAGGACATACCACCTCTCACCTGATAGAATGACTATCTATCTACATTATAAAAGTCCAGGGGCCGTCACGACCTAAATAACCAGATGGATGACCAGTCACCAGGAAGTGCATGGAGCACCTCTCGATTCCTCCCCCACAGCCCACAGGCTCCTATCACAGCAAGGCTGGCAGCCGGAGGGTGGGTGGGGCATTGAGGGGGGGGGGGAGGCAAGGCGGGCATGGCGGCTGTGGATCAGGCCCAGGGGGAGGCTTGGAGAGAGAGGCAGGGCCTGATCAGCAGCTGCTGCGGCTGCTGGCAAGAACCAGAGAGAGAGAGAGAGAGAGAGAGAGAGAGAGGCAAGGCCTGATCAGCAGCTGCCACGCAGGCTGTGGATCAGGCCTGGAGAGAGGCCTGGAGATAGGCCTGGAGATGCTGACTGCCATAGAAACCAGCCGATCAAAACCAAATCTGGGTGAACTGCAAAGGCAGAACCTAAGGAGGGGTTTTAAGGTCAACAGCTGTTTGGTGTAAGATGTAAGAAAGCAGTTCAATTTTTTAATGACTGGTTTGGCAGTATAGTGCATATGGCTGGCTATCAGTCCAGATATAGGGATTATGTATTTTTGTCTGCCAAGAGCATCTCCTCCTACTGAAAAAGGCTTTCCCCCCAATTTAAGCAATGTTATACTATATAATCTATCTATACTAATAAAATTGTAATATGCTCATTAGACCAGATCAGTCAGCCAACTTCCAGATGTCCGACTTCCTTCCGGACAAAGCCATGGTGGTGGGGGCTGAGGCAGAGGCAGTTAGGGGCAATCAGGCCAGCAGGGGAGGGCAGTTGGGGGCGAGATCAGGCCGGCAGGGGTTAGGAACAATCAGGCCAGCAGAGGTGGGCAGTTGGGGGCAAGATCAGGCCAGCAGGGGAGGGCACCTAGGGGTGATCAGGCTGCCAGAGGCAGTTAGGGGCAATCAAGCCAGCAAGGGAGGACAGTTGGAGGTGACCAGGCCAGCAGGGGAGGGCAGGTGGGAGTGACCAGGCTGCAGGGGAGGGCAGTTAGGGGCAACCAGACTGTTAGGGGAGGGCAGGTAGGGACAATCAGGCCAGCAGGGGAGAGCAGTTAGGGGCGATCAGGCCGGCAGGGGAGAGCAGTTGTGGGCCATCAGACGAACAGGGGAGCAGTTAGGGGTGATCAGGCAGGCAGGCAGAGGTGGTTAGGGGCAATCAGGCAGGCAGGCAGAGGCAGTTAGGGGCGATCAGGCAGGCAGGCAGAGTGGTTAGGGGCAATCAGGCAGGCAGACAGGTGAGCAGTTAGGAGCCAGCAGTCCCAGATTGTGAGAGGAATGTCCAACTGCCATTTTAAACCAGCAGTTAGACATCCCCCAAGGGGTCCCTGATTGGAGAGGGTGCAGGCTGGGCTGAGGAAACACCCCCCGCCATGCACGAATTTTGTGCACAGGGCCTCTAGTCTATAATAACAAAAGCACAATATGCTAATTAGACCGGATGTCCTTCCAGACAATCTTTCAGATGAAGCTGCAACAGCTGGGGTCGAGGCAGAGGCAACCGCCATGGTGGTGCAGGCCAAGCCCCTTGCACAAGTTTCATGCATCAGGTCTCTAGTGTATATATATAAAAGCCAAGTGACCAGAACAGCAGAATGACTGGAACAACCGGTTGCTATGATGTGCACTGCAGCAGCCAACTGGCCCGATTGGGGATGGGGCCAGACGACCAACTGCCCACGGCCCCTCCCCCGGCCGGCCCCGCCCCTGATTGGCCCCCCCACCCCGGACCCCACCTGTGCATGAATTCATGCACTGGGATTCTAGTTATTAATATGACAAGAGATAACAAGTGCTAGAGAGGATGTGGAGAAAAAGAAACCCTCAAACACTGCTAGTAGGAATAAAGTTGCTACAACCACTATGCATAACAGTATGGAGGTTATATCCTCAAAAATTTAAAAATAGAGCTACCAAATGACCCAGAGACCCATTTTCTTGGTATCTACCCAAAAAACTTGAA